CATCTCTAAATACATTGGGGAAATACTGAACAGGGCCTGTGAGCATTTCTTGCTCTTTCACATCAGAAAATTTAGTGCACAAGTGAATGCATGAAAAATCTGCAGTAATAGCGCTGCACACAGAGGTACCAGGAGTAAGTGGATGCGCTGCACTGGCATTTGGACTGTGGTTGCCATTGACGGATGTGTTGCAAGCACTGTCTGCATTTAGAGGCTGCTCTACTTTCATTAGCTTCTTCGACAATTCTCTCTTTTGACCTTTCTGGACTGTTCACTCTGTTTCAGCTGGATTCTAATGCACAGACTGCTATGAGAGAAAAGTACCATTTGAAAACCAGAGGCTAGATACAGGAAGTTGTTGATATGTGTGTATGAAAACTCTAGAGGCTCCCTCAATTCAATCCATGCTTTGTCAAGAAGACTACAGATCAAATATATTTGAGATTCCAACTTGGTATGAAAGCTTGGGGGAATATAACTGAACAATTGGGCATCTTTAAATAAAATTTGAAGACGTTAGAAAGATTCCCAAGTGAAAAACTGGAACACATATAAATCTTGCTTAAAGTGTGTCCTGACTTTAGTTATCTTGTGAGATGAAATATGCAGAACCTGCAAACCTTGTCCTGTTTATTGAGGCAGTGCACATCTTCTAAAGTGGATGTGCAGCGCAGGGTCTGATATCTAAGGAGCTGACAATCTATCACACCCCGCTTAATGCGTGAGCCCACCCACATGCATTTGCTGTTACCTTGCACTAAATGCTTTCTAACCAACTTGAAGTTAGCTCTGCAAATACTAGTATTCATAATAGTTGGCCTAGATTTTTTTTTAATCTCTAGATTTAAAATCAGGAAAATTAATAGAGAAGAAGGTGCTATTCTTTTTCTGTTGCGTGTTCTATGTAAATAATTATAGAAAACTACCAGGTAAATAAGCATTCTGAATCTCTAATAGATTGCCTTACCTCAGAGTCTCTAGTAACTGAGCTTCCTTTTTAATAGAAATGCTAGTCACAATTTTTAAAGAATGCCCAACATAAAACTTCTGTCACTTCTTATTTGTGGACTGATTCAGGGTATAGAGTGACAGGGAAAAATGCCAAAACATTTGTCTTGTGAAGACACGCCACTGCTTGGCAGGCCGAGGCAACACAGAGGGCTGGGTGTGACTCCGAGCCCACCATAAAGAGGTAGCATAGGGGAGTATCTGTAATCTCACTACATAGGAGGTTGAGGAAGAAGAATCTCAACGTAAAGAGACTGGCTCCAAAGAATAAGAATATCATGTATGCACACACACAAAGAAGGTCTTGTTCAGGATTTGGGTATATCTGATGGTTTAAGAATTTCTTGGTTTTACATTCTTAAGAGAAGTGAATCAAAACATTTGAAAAATTAATATTCAGATGGAAAATGCCAGGACCTGCCCCACAGCTTAGTGGTGAAGGGAAACCAGATCCCACATGGCCGACCCCTGTGCCAATCCTGGCCACAACTGGGTGTATTATGTCCCAAGTCCTGAGGATGGAGTAGTGGAGGAGAAAGAGTTGCAGTGACCAAGGCCCATTGGAAGATGCTTGTTCCCTTTCCCTCTTTCCTTTTCTATCTTAACCTTTTTCTCTAGAGAGCTCACATACCTCTGGAAATTAAAATAAAGACTAAAACAATATAAAGTTCCAAAAATCTATAAAATAATAGTACTGCAATTGCCCCATAATACTGTTTGCTGGAGGCCTTGGGAAAATGACAAGCCCTCCTCAGATGTCCCCATCTGTGGCAATTACTGAGATTAAAAAACATACACTCAAGGTCAACAGGGGGCATGATGGTTATGGTGCTGCACTCCCACATGTCTTATTGTGGTTCAAATCCTGGTCTGGGTGGCTTGCTTTCTCACTTTCTCTCTGTCTGTTTCTCTCTCTCTCTCTGGTGATGCATGTGCCCTATAGCAAATTTAAAAAATAATAAATAAAATAAAATAATGATTTTAAAATATATGCTTGCAAGCCAGTTGCACAATATGGACTTCAATTTTAAAATCATTTTGAGTCTCCAGGATATATGAAAAACAAACTTCCATCAAGCTGAATAATTCATTAATTCAAAAATTAATTTTACAAAAGGAAATATAGAGATGAACTTTTATTTATGTTTTTGGCAGTCATATTAGATTGATGTTTCTTACACTGGTACTTACAGGGAAGACTTTGTGAGGAATTTGAAGAATAAGAAGTGTAGTTGTAACCCAGTCATGACTTTTTTATTACTGAGGTAGAACTTTATTAATCATATGTATTTATTTTTATTTTTGCTTTCCATATAATTAATCCCTTATTGTACCTCATTGTCAGACTGTCTCTACTGAAAGTCATAAGAGCAGTCAGGACATGGATATACTTATTGTCTATACTAGAATGAGTAGATATTCTCTCATGTGTAGTGTGTAAGAAAAGAAGAAAATATTAGACATTAAAACATTCAGAATTCACAAGGCAATTTGCCATAGTTCTGGGGAGAGTGACAGCTTGAATGTAGCAGATAAACAGCTAATGTGTTCAGCACCAAAATTGTATGACAAATGGTTTTCCTTTTGTCAACATTATTCCTGTGAATTCTACAGAAGTTGATACTCTCGTTATATGCGTATATATTTTTTCTGTACTCCTTTGCCAAGCTGTGACCTATAACTAAGCTTCTTAAACCTTCTCCCCAGCAGGCAGGGAAAATGAATGCACATACTCTGGTCTCTGGGCACAGCCCAGAACATTCCATCCCTCATTGTTCACCATGACTTCCCTGAGGGA